TTTAATTTAAATATTCTAGAATATTATTATCATTATTTAATATTCGAGTGATATAGTCTGAAATATTATTTTAATTTTCAAGACAATGTACTTGAATACTTAAATAATTAAAATCGCTATCGAAATTAGGTAGAGAAAACCAACCTAAAAAGTACCCATTTAGTGCTATAAAAATGTACGTACACATTTGTGCAACAACGTCAACGGGTGTTAGATCTTTTTAAGTGATTGATTCGAAATGAGACTATATTGTTTTCGAATCTACATCGTGTATATTAGTACTGTAGTCTAGGCTCTACTCTATGAGTAGAAGTACTGGCTGAGTGGATATGGATTTGTATTTAGAATGTATTTAAAAAATAGGATAGAAGAAAGAACAGCTTGGCAGATCAAGAAGTAGCCTACAAAAGTAAATATGTGAATCTAGTTATGAAGTTAATCTCAGTTTATATTTATAAAGTACCTCTCGCTACGCAACCTGAGCCCTAGCGAGAGGTACTTACTCTCTACCCTATGCTACAGTACTAACTCAGACGTTACCATGGAGGGAAAAAAAACAACGGTAGTGCCTTAAGCGCGTTTGTACACTGCATATGTTTTGTATTCGTTCCGAATCGTAGACTATACAAATCCTGGAAAACTCGGACCCACTTCGGATGTCGCTTGTGCGCTAAGTCCGATTCGTATCCGAGAAAATACGAATATCGCTTGTACACCTAGAGATAAAATAATCCCTGTGACATTTCGGGCCGTCATTTCTCGGATTCGCCTCTATTACTATCACAACCGCTGTCGCCAAAACCCGCTCAATCATAATATGTTTAAACACTATAAAATCTTGATAATGATTGGTCGTAGTTCTAATTTACAAAAATTGAACAAATTCTGGACTGTTAATATAATTTAAACTTTACCCAGTTGGCATATCGTTGAAAATTCAATACCTATTATTGCAAGTTATGACGTTTTGATTTTAGTCTGAAATTCCATTGTATGTGTTGCTATCTTGTTGCTAGATAGCTGAAAGATTAGGAGACGACGAACGATTACCGTTCTCCAAAAAAACTTAACTAAATGGATAACATTGCAGGTGCGATTATCATTTTCACACTCCAAAGTAGCAAGATTTTTCTGCGATTTTGACACGACCATAAGGTAGAAAGCGAAAATGACGAACTGAGCTCAAGTATGTTGAACTGCGCGTACTGTTAGTTCACGTGTCCCGCCCTCTATGCACTTCTACTATATTTAATGTTCTGTGGCCGCGACCATGGGTCCTTTAAAGAGCCCAAAACGTTGATTTGTTTAAATTTTTTTTTTTTTGTTTAGTATAGAAATGAATGTGTCGCATGTCTTTTTGACGACCTCGATGGCCTAACAGTGACCAACGCTCACAGTGCAAACTGTGAGCGCTGGATGCGGGGGTCTCGGGTTCCATTCCCGGTAGGACCAATTTTAGAAAAATAAACTTTTCCAAATTGGTTCTGGTCTGGGTGTTCTGGGAAGTACCGTACAGTGAATTCCGTTGCTCCAGTACTCATACGGAATTCCCTAGTTTGAGACCAGGCAAGTAGTATGGTTGTCTGGCCCATTATTATTAGTAATATATTTCAATATTTATTTATACATTTAATTTTAATTTAATTTATTTAACTGCCTCAGTGGCCGAACGGTTACCATGCCGGCCGGACTACCACGCAGAGGTCCTGGGTTCGGTTCCGGTGCCGGGAGAAATATTTGTATGGCCTACATTTATTTCGCTCGCGAGTTTGGGTGTAATTTGTCGTTGTCTATGTGTATGTCCACGGCACCCGCGACACAGGGTTTCCCTAGTGCGGGGCTATGAATGTGTGCGCGTTATTATTATTATTGTATTTATTTTAAACTCTCGCCTCTCTCATTATTATTATTATTAAATTATTATTATATATATTTAATTAAGCCGAACTCTCGAACTTAATTCGCCATCTAAAGGAAGCTTAGAGCACTTTTCAGTCCTTCATATCTTCGTCCATGGATTGCACTAGTAGCCTGAAATTAATGTTACCTTTTGAGTTTTCGACTAATTTCGTACGTAGAACTTTTAGACCTGTCTCCTGTAGGGCTAGCAAGACAAAGCGTGACAAAGCAATCGCGCAATAGCAGCATAAAGCGCGAGATACTCTATGCAACAATAGCAGTATATCGCGCTTTATGTCGCTCTCGCCCAAGTCGCGCCCTATCGTGCTACCCTACTGGAAAGTTGTAATTTTGCAGATGCTGCCTTATTGCACCAACATGAAAATTCCGGTAAATTGCTTTCTTAAATGACCAAGAAAAGACTACAATTCAATTCAAATAAACGTTGTTTGTAATAAAATCGGTGACTATTGCAATAAAATGGAAAGATCTGGATCGGTCGTAAATCTCCGTAAAATGGGAATCGATATGCGATGGCTCGGTCTATATTAACCTAATTGTTAGAATTCGCATTTAATGTCGACCGTTATTCAGGTAACACCCCATAGATTTATAGGATACCTGTTGACATGACTAACTATTGAATGTGGTAGTACATACAGCCTAAACAATTTATACTTTTTTTAAGCGAAAACTAAATCAGAAAAAGAAATACCAGTATCATTATGCTTCTATGCTTCATTTTTATTTAAGGTTTACTTACACTTGTTAAAAAGGTTTCTTATTATTAATGTAAAGTTAATTAAGTCTCTCTCAAATGAATACCACACTTATAATTCCTTTGCGGGTAGAAAGTTCTAATCTAAGTTGAGATACCTACACTTTCATCTACAGAGGTAAAATAAATTATTTGATTGAAGCAATGAATACTCACCATTTGTACTTAGATAGCTAAATCATTTAATAATGTAAACAAGTTAAAATTACAGTGAAAACATGAAATAGTAAAATCTTAAAAGAACTTTTTATATTTATTTCTCAAACAATAAATATTTACTTCCCAAACTTTATGTTACATTGGCATTGCCCCAAAATACAAGCAGCTAATAAATATAAAACTGTCTCACAGCAAGTAATAAAGAACGTTATGATTGGTTTGGTTTTACAAGTTTTAAGAGAAATCAAATAATTTTCTAAAAGCTATTTTAACCCTATTTTTGAAGCAGGAAGAGAATAATAGAGAGAAATTGCTTTATCAGTCATTATGGCTATACTCGGCAAACAAACTTTTGCTTACGCCTCAGATCACACGGCCTAAGGGGCTTAGGACCTTATTGTTATGCCAATTGAAAACCCCCTATATCTACCTCGTCTTTTATTATTATTATGTAAGGTTACAAATTAAATACCTGTTGATATAATATTTGTTAATTTAAATTACAGCTTTTATTTTGAATGAGAAAAGGTACAATATTGTTAACTACTACAAAGCCAAAATTAGGCAGTGTTTGGACACCTTTGTAATGTAGTGTACATTTTCTTAGCGTTTTTTATTATTCATTCATTGTGTTGAATCAAAAACCCTACAAAGGTTCATTTAATCTCCATTGTCAACTAAAGTTTCAAATGACGTAGATGAGATTGTTGGACTACAGGAGTTTGTTTAGACTCGAAATGTATGGTACAATTTTATATTCCGGTATTGTGGCCCAAACCGTATTGAATGCTCAAGTTTGAGTTTGATAGAGTATGTTAATTATCGAATAATTGTTATGCATGGTTAAAAGATGGCCATGTACTTACATTGTCTTCCACTAATAAATTAATTGTGAGCCTTACTTAGAACACTTATAATTTATTTGTTACATTTAATTCGAAATCGCAAAAATTTAATATCCAAACCGTATAGCTGACCCCTCCCATAAGACTACTTGCTTTTATAGGAATTGCTATAACATGTCCATACAAATATATAATGCTTTGCCTGCAGCTATCGCAGATTTACCTATCAAAATATTTAAAAAAAAGTTATTTGATTTGCTATGTGATCTGTGTTTATACGATATCAAAGATATTTTAATAATAAAAAGAAATTGACATTTTGTTTGTATTTGACACTTTGTTTATATTTGTGCTGTTCTTACCTCTTTGATATTGTTTAATTTATGATGTTGTTGCTGTTGCTATTTATTGGCATTTTTACTTAATTTTATACGACATTGCTTATTTGACAAATTGTATAATTTTAATTTATGACATTATTTAACTTCCATTTATTTTAATATTTGCGTGCCAGTATCTGGTGCAACACGTGTTCTTCACACCTTGTATAATAATATCTTTTCTTACCGTATTTGCTTGTATATATATTTATATATATATTTTATTTTATATATATAATTTTTTATTTTATATATTTTATTGTATATATATTATGCGAATAAATATTTCATTTCATTTCATTTCAATTTTATGTAAAACGTTAATCAAATAAATGAAATCTTTTTATTTTTTATTAGATGTCATGGTGCATTTACTTTTCTTTTATAATAACAAGTGACACTGCGCAGAGACATAAGTTCACAAGTCCCATGTGCCTGCAATTTCACCAGCACCCACAGAGAGATCCCACACGGGCGTTGCGTCGTCGCAACTACGTTGATTTCAACGGACTGAGTGCTGCACGTTCCGTGTGGCATGTCGTTCTGATTTATATGTAGTAAAACGCACATTACTGCTTGACGGCAGAAATAGGTATGGTAGCAGTTCTTCCCTGGAGGAACTATTTCACAAGGAGTTCTACTGCTACTAAGCTTTACTGTCATGGTATTCATCTATTTTTTGTGGAAACGCTCCACTAATTTATTTATTGATACAAATGTCGAATATTTAATATTTCTTCAATCCGACTAGACTCGAACCACCGTTTGTAGATACGTGGCACAGTTGACAGAGCTGCAACCACATTGAGGTGACACAGGCTAGTTCAAGTCCAGTGTCGGTTCAAAGAAAATATTCGCTCTTTATATCAATAATAATAAAAAGAAATGAAATTATAAATTATTTTAAAAGTATTTACGTGTTCTTTCTCTTTCTTTCAGAGAAATTACCTAGAACAGTTTGGATATCTGAAGAAAGGGCAACTTGAAGTTGGTAACTTACTACTGGGAAGTGAGTCACAATATTACGAAGATGACTTCAGGATTGCCGTCAAAACATTACAAGTATGTTTTTTTTATAATACCAAGTGACGGGACGAACAAGTCGTGCGCCTGGTGGTAAGCGACACGCCTATCCATTACAGTTGCAATGCCACTCAAACTATGTAACGCAAAGATCTTAGGTGCGCTACCACTGCGCCCGTCACCATAAGACAAAAGTTGACAAGTCCCTGTAATTTAACCAGTTTCCGATTTGGAAACCGGAACGCAGTAATGCTCACATTACTGCTAAGCGGCAGAAATAGGTAAGGTGGCTATTGCCACCTGGAGGAATTCTTTCACAAGGCGCTCCACTGCTACTAAATGTATATAATAAACCCAGTGTACCAATCAAATTCTAATATCCATCTGCGTATGTTTTGTTATTGCTTATAGTTACAAAAATCTTTAGTCTGTATTGAAAATGTTAAATCCTTAAAATTGGGTTTTAATTAATCAACCGCAATCCTTTAATGTGATTGTTTGATATGTAAAAATTCGAAATAATTCTCTGTACAAATTTCTTCATTAACCGGTTGATTTGTTTTGCGATACCAAACAACACCTTAAAAATGCAAACAACTCCCTAACACCATAATTACCTGTCTTTGATATATACTGTCTCTGGGTTTCCGTGACACCTTCACACCCACACTTCGTCGACGTGTAAAAAAAGAAGTCAACCAACAAACAATTTTTTTTTATGCAACTATTCCAGGAATTCGCAGGCGTTCCTGTCACAGGTGAAATCGACGAGGCCACGAAGGAATTGATGACGAAAAAGCGATGCGGAATACCTGACCAGAAACCTGACAGTGAAGGTGGCCGGGAGAAACGATTTGCAGTGTATGGAGAGAAGTGGAAACACACCAATTTGACATGGAGGTTAGTAGCTACATTAGTGCGACATTATTTTAAAATAACAACTGCTTAAACGGCAAGCAACAATGTATTTTTATTATTTATTAATTTGTCTTTGCATTGATAAGATTTTCTCAAACAATTACAGCGCTATCTAGCGTCTTCTATGGAACCATACATTTTGCCGGACACAAAAATTACACTGCTGAAGCGCCATCTAGTAGATTATGTCGAATCACTACATTCCTTAGTACTTTAGCAGCCTTCTCACTACTGGTATTCTAAAATAGATGGCGCTTATTTACGTGCTGATTTTACTACTCGACAGTAGATGGTATCCTAACTGGTTCACTTGAACACTCACAGAGAGTTACTATTCAATCCATTGCGGCGCTCATTGTGGCAAAAATGTGAGTCTACGATAACGCGCTCCTATGGTAGTTTAAAAAAAATGCTTTTTTAACAAAAAGTACACTGTAAAAATTAAAACCTTTCACTACAAAGGAACAATCAATAGCCAGTTTTCTAGCAAGTAAAAGGCAGGTTAATTGGAAATTAAATATGGCAGTTTGAATTAGATACGAGCAGGGTAAGTTAGAAAAGCCTCAAATTAATGTAAATCAGGCAAGATTGTAAAAAAGAACACAGATTAAAAATCTGTTTTTATATTAATTACCGAAAGCATTATATTCAAACTTTAGTTATGAGGTATCACTTAATCTGAAACTGAATCAGCGTCAAAAATGGCATTTGAGTATCTAAACTTATTAGAATCGTTATTTATAAGTGTATATAGTCTTTGTGATAGATAAACTTATACGTATATACTTTATAAATATATTATATGCAACAATTCTTGTTGGTTTACTAACCGCACAAATGCCAAGTCAACAAAACAGCAAATCTAAATTTATGCAATCCTACTCGGAGAGTTTCACATAAGAATAGTAATAACGTATAGAAATTACAACTCTATGAGTAAAAAGTGTAACACAACTTCTATTCTAATTGCTGTATTAACCTTTTAAGGGCTATTTACTTCTAATATAAGTAGCCCTCCGAAATCGCGAAAAAATAACAGCTGTTTTATATATTTTAGTCAAGTAGGAATTAATGTTCATTTGCGATCTCTTCTTCCAGTCCTTATGATAAAAAGGAGGGGTATAAATTGCCGAAACTGGATGCGCCATGTATGACATAATAATAATATAGTAACGATGTGCAAAAAGTAATTTTTGGAAAACGACAATGCAGATTTAAAAAATAACGAATCCAAACATGTATGACATTTACCACGTGTCAATTTCAAACTTATACAGCTTGATACGAAAAACGATATTATATTAATTTCATTTCGTACATTTTTTAAATTAATTTATTCAGTAGCTAAATTTCTCAAAATGTTACAATCGTATTTCTTTATTATTGAGATTGATGAAATATGAGGATATCAGTTTCAAATTTGTAGTTAAATTTTCAGTATCTAATGTATGTCTATGTAATAATGAAGCAGCTATTAAACCAAGATATCTTAGTACTTTTAATGTAAGCGCGTAGTTACGACGGTAGCACCAATTCATAACCTTCTAATTGATCTAATTAAAATCTTAATTATATAAAAAACCTATCGTATGGTTATCATAGGTTACAAATTTTATTTACACATGTTTTATTTAGTATTTACATAAAAATAACATCACTATTATTTACGAGTAACCTAACATATTGTGAAATGTGTAATTGTGAAAATTTTTGCAAACAAAAGTAAGCAGAGAACATTTGTTATTAAAATGAAAAAATAAAAGTCACTCATTAACTTCTGGGGATGATCGGCGATCTCAGTAATTTATACATAAACCATATAAACTTATTTTTATCGCAAATAACAAATTTTCATACCACTACCGATACTCTATCGTTATAGTTATTATTTTTCCTTAATGGCGGCCCCTAGGCTTAGGCCCGTATCAGTTTCGTTCTATCGTTATAGTAATGCCATGGTAATTCTTACGTATACGATTTAGGATGTAAAATCTGACATTTCTCTATTTTTTTGGAACGATATGAGTTTTTAGATACAGCGATAACAATAGAAAGTAAAAATATAAAGAAATAAGAATTCTAAAGAAACAATTGAATATATCGACTTAGTACAACTACAGTATAAGTTGGTTAGACTGTGTTACAACCTTAGAATAATAACGCATAGAAACCTAGTCAAATTGAAGCGCGCCAAAAGGGCCTAAACGAACGGGCGGGCCTTCAGTGCTCAAGGTCAACTTGCATCGCGAACAGATCAAGAATTTTAGTTAAGAATGACGAAATGTGCGGTTATTTGGTGTAAAAATACGTCAGACAAACATAAAATAGATACTAACATCACATTCCACAAGGAAGTAACGCGTTTCAACTTGTATTTTTATATAAATATTCACTAAAACCGAAAATTAACCTACTACTAAAACTAGCCTACATGAATTTGATTTTTGCCTCACTTGTGACAGTTCGTTTGATATGAAACTATCATTCTATGCGTTATTATTCTAAGGTTACAACCTTAATCAATCTATTAAAAACATCAAAATCAAACAAAATGCTTACATTACAAAACTGTGCATTTTTTTTAATTTTTAGGAATAACAATACTGAAAATTTAAATCATTTAAATAATGTATGGTTTAATCAAACCTAAATAAATAAAACAAGTTCTTCAACTAAAATTACGAAATTTACAGAACACAATTTTATGGAACGCAAAATCATCCTCGAAGCACTTGACAAACCTGTATTACGATATTAAAACAATGAATGAAAAAATGATAATAAAGTAAAATTTTGCGAAAATGACGCTTAAATATATTTTAGTTGTTTTTGATAGTTCATTATAAAATTTACTATGAAAACTTTTACTGTTCTGCTGCTTGCTGTGATTTGGGAATCATAGTAATAAATCACAAACAGTTCATCATTCCTAAAATGACAACAGCAAAAATTTGATTTTATAAGTAAACTTTAGAGCAAACTATCAAGAACAACGAAATAGTACGAATTTTATGCAACCGTTGCATAACGAGGGTTCTTGAAGTAGAGTACCGTTTATAGATAATTAGAAAGAACATAAACATAAATTGTTTTGTTAGAACAAATTTCTTATCTGTGAAAATGTTATTATTGCTTCACATCGAATCCGATTTTATTATGACATTCAAATTTCGAACATCTCTGAAAAACAAAACCTCAATCCTAATATCAGTCGAGATGAAGTTTTATTCGAAATGAAATGTCAATAGCAAACAATTTTGACAAATTTCACACGTTACTTGATATCGAACAATATGATAGTTAGGGCCGACTCTAGTTTGTCTATGAATTAAATAAAATGTACGGTTGTGTCACATGCGTGAAAAAAGTTTTTGCCGCCATTTCGCCAGTTGTAACTTGCTATTCCTGAACACATCGTAGAGAGCTTATAATATATGTATAGATAAAGCAGTGTGTGTAACTGTACATAATTAGGCATTAAAACACTCGTGTGATGTTTTTATGAAACTCGCCTGTCGGCTCGTTTCATAAACCCGCGTTCGTGTTTTGATGAGTTTCATTATGTAACAGTCACAAAAACTACTCCTTTCTGCGAGCAATTAAAGTAATGAAACACAATCAATATTTAATGTATATTTTGTTAACAATCCATGACAGCAAACTCATTTTTTTTCCCACATATTTTCACCCACTTATTTAGGTAGGCAAAGGTTCCACCATACAACCTCTTCATATATTTAGACGAAAGCCAACAATGATCTTATTTGACGAAAGCCAAATAAACGCTACAAAACAAAAAAGCAAAGAGAGAACAAAATTGGCCAAGTAGCGCCTATACATATTTTAACCAATTTTTTTTTTATGAAGGTTTATGGCCCGGTAAGTACTGTCAGTGTCATATATGATATTGTAATAAGCATATATACATATATATACGACGTTCTTTTTTGAAACCATTGACTTACAATTATAGTCAATGTTTGAAACGCATTATAATTCCGTATAATACTTAC